AACCGCGGCAAAACGCCCAATACAATATAGAAGTCCTCACATGTAGGCTTTTTTCAACCGGCTGGTTTTCCGACAAGGGGTAGCACGGGGAAGTTGTACTGGCAAGTAGCATCAGATGCCATCTGCAGTCAGTGGCAGAATATATTCGCCCGCCAAGGAGTATATACGAATATGCTACAGTATGTCGTAGTGTATAGCGCGACAGCTAGGTGCCTGACCTGGTTTGAATACGTTTTGCCTCCCACTGTAGCGTAAATACGTCAATCAATCACGAGGTACCCCTTTTGCGACATGACTTGCACGCCCCATATCATATACTCCCCGTCTTCCGAGCAGACGCCGTTCCTCCCTCGAAGCTACCGTACCCGCGGTTACTTCGGGCCAGACTCCGGCCCGCAAACCCTCAAGACCCCGACAAAGCGCAAGGCTCCCGAAGAGGAGCCAATTAAGGTATCCGATACTAAATCGGAGCGGGTTTTAACCTGAAAGGTTTCTCGTTAGCTTGATTTCGCGCCAACTAATGTGATTACTCGTTCCCAGGCGGCGTAAATAATGAGAGGGGAGTCTCTTTCGCCCCGTAAGAGCGGAGCCGTAACGTCCGAGATTCAAGCGCGGGTAAAAGCCCAATGGGAAGATCCCAACATTCATGGTCATAATCAATGGTGTCACCGTTATGTGAATCAATAATTAGGTGAGTATCAGCCGAAGATTGATATTAATCCTGAGTTTACTCCTCTGACCGAGGTCGAGCTACGTTGCATCCGTTCCACCGAGGGTGTTAAGGATAATTGCAACTATTGTACCTCGCAGGGAGGCCTTTGTATTCGCGTAAGTATAAAATCTGAAACCAGTTTAGATGGCGCTGGTAGTAATGATGCTTTAATTCTTCTGTTGTACACTGCAATGTGCTGTGTAATAATGCTTCTCATTTCTCTTATTAATATGACTCCTTCCCCCAACAAGTCCCAGAATTCTAGTCCCTAATCTTACATGCGTTGATAGAACAACAGGTACGCCACCTTGTTGTCTTTGATGTTGTCCTTGGCCTGTTTGTCCTTTGAGGCTGCGTTGGTGCCGTTGACTACGCTGCTCCATCTCTTGCTTCCGCTGGCGGAAGTGGTGACCTGCTTCCAGCCATCCTTGTCCCCAGAGTCTTCGTCGTTTATTGCGCCAAAGCGGTTGGCCGAGGGGCTCGCGGATAAGAGCTGCTCCTTGCGGGTATCCTTGACTTCTTCCTCAGCTCCAATTCTGGCAACCTCTTCGCTTCGGATTCGCTGGAGCAAGGTGTCGTCCAGGCGAATCCACTCTTGGCCGTCTTGTCGACGCACATCAACTGTGTAGTGGCCGCCGCTGGCGTTCTTTCCATGATGGTACACAACACTAATTAGTTTATACCGGGGCAAAGGGCCGTCACCAATGTTTTGACGGCGCTGTCTGGAGAGAACCTCACGCGGAATCTCAAGCTCCAGGGGGTATCCGATCTTCTTCCAAATTTTGATGGTGCCGTTGGCTGTGGCATCGAACTGGAAACGTTTGAGGTGCAGGATGAGAACTGGCGGCAAAGATTCGATAAAGACCTGTTTCGTGGCCAGTACATCCTTGCCCCGAGGGGAATTGAAATCTCCTTGGAGGCGCTCGGGTCTGGTAAGCCCTCTCAGGGCATCCACGACATTCCGTACATCGGACGATCCAATATCCAGTTGTAGCGGTTGGTATGGCTCTGTAGTAATAGAATCCTTGAGCCCGGGGACCCGAAATTCGGATCGCAACAGTCCACCAAAGATCTTCGTTATGGGTGAAGAGGTGTTTGATCCCGATGATCGACTGACTGCGGCTTTCTGCTTGCGGCCAACCTCAAGCCAGTCTCCCGAAGGCGCGGCAGCTTCATGGTCAATGGACTTCTCGTTTTGAACCTGTTCGGTTTCACCAGGAAAGGACTTGTTCATAGCAAGGGTGCATTCGTCATCCAGGGACTGAAGAAGGAAGCCAAGGAATTCCTCAGCATCTTGCTGGTGACCACGCTGATGTGTATTAGCATAGGTATGAACATGGGCATCTTCGCACTTGGGCTTATACGTACTCTCATGCTGGCAAATCGTGGAAGCTGCCTTATGGCTTCGTAAACGAATTCCGGAGTAAAGGGCTCGCCGTATAGCTCAAAGACCTGAGACTTCAAAGTGCCGCGAAGCTGCTTAGAAGACGACGCAGATGCAAGAACCTTGAACTCCTGCAAAAACATGACCCTTTTTACTGATGTTAGAAACTGAAAAGAGCCGAGAGAACGAAATCTTGCTTACATTGCATCTACTAGAGGTGTTTCACTCTTGAAGCTGTGAGCAGCCCTTTTGCTTAGTTGATCTAGAAAGTCGTAGAAAGGAGCACAAAACATGAGCACTTGCAACACCTGAGAACATGGGTTAGTAGCTAGCAATTGGTGTGACTTTAAGTAAGGACATACGGAATTCATATAACACATGTTGCCTGTGTTAACGAGGCCGCGAGGCTCAATCAACGTAGCCTTTTCAGTGCGGTCGATCTTAAAGGATCGGATGGCTTCCCCGAAGAAGCTCCTGTTTGCCGGGGAGAATTTTGACCCAGGCACAGCGGGAACTGTAGCAGCTTCGACTGCATCGCCGTTGACCGATGTAGCAGAGCTAATGCCGTTCAAGGCTGTCAGATTCTGGGCGGCCGGCTTCGCAAAGAGGTTTGCCCAGCTCGTTGGCGCAGCCTTTACCGGAGGGGCCGTTGCAGTAGCCTGCTCGTCTGTCGCGTTATCCTCCTTGATCGTGGCACTTTCGTCGCCCTGAGAAGGCCCCTCTCCATTTGCGGCGCTGTTGACGGTGTGACCATTCGTCATTTGACCGCGGCATTCCTCGGGTGCTGCTTCGGATAGAGCGGGAGTCGCATCACAAGATGCGCTTGGGGACTGACTAGTAGTTGGCTCCGCAGGCCGACGATTGGCATGGGCTTCTACGGCAGGCTTAGAATCAGACCCGGCCGCATTGTTTGCGGGTGGTTCAGCCGCTGAAGAAACTGATTTGGGTGCGGCAGCATCGGTTGAGTCGGTAACATCTTCGTGTTGTTCGATGGGGAACGAAATGGGTTGCTTATTGGGGGAAAGCAACTTCCTTTTTGTTCGGGACCGGCGAGAGCGTTGAGGAAACAGAGCATCAGGTCGGGAGAACCAAGGAAGCTGGTTTCGGGGACTGTTAGCTCACAGAAAATTGGCCATACCGGCTTACATTGGTACGACTTACAGGAGGTCTGAAAGGCTGTTGCTTCAGCACCACAACAGGCTCCCTTGGCCCCGTTGGCTGCGGCGCTTCAGTAGATTGCGGTCGGGGTTGCGATGGGGAAGGGTCGCCTTTAGCAGTTTGTGGAGTGTGAGGCGTCTGGGGAAGAATGATCTGTGATGAATGAGTCGATGACGGGGTCTGCGGCGGCATCGGAGCAGGTGCTGGAGGAGGCCGATATGGCGTCGCGAGATTCGGTGACTGTTGATTTGGGCGAGGATAGTTCGGAGGGACGCTGACGCCTACCATGGGAATGTATTGATGCATGGCGGGCGGTGATCTTCCATACGTCTGGTAGGGAACGTAGGCTGGCGATGGCACACCCCCGCTGGGGTACTGCGGAGGCATGCCATAATACTGCTGCTGCGGCGCATAAGACATGTAATTCGGATATATTGGGCCCGTGTATTGATGGTATGGCGGCATAATAAGCTTCCTGATGGTCCGAGGGAAACCCGCGGGGGCTGCGGCTGCGTGGGATGCGCTTTGCCTGAAGAGACGTCTATATGCCAAGGCCTGTAATGCAGTCGGAGCCAATTAAGCGGTTTGCATGATGTCTAAGAGGTGCGCTGTGCTGCTTAAATGCGAAAGAGCAAGGCTCATCAGCTAGGTGACACAGAGAAGAGAAGGCGTTTGGAGGCGCCCGAGTATATTTGTTTGTGACTTTAGTCGCCAACTCTTCGGCCGAAAGAGAGTTTTCTTGTGCTCCATCCGTCGACCCCTTCCATAGGAAAAAGAAAAACGATGCCACGGCACACTCGTTCCACGCGTGACTGACGTGGGTGGCAGCCAAACTCCAAAATGGTGCTTGGGATGACGTACCGGAACAATGGCTTGGGCCGCAGTTGAACAGCAGCAGGTACAGAACAGGCGATTGCGATCCAAAGGTGAGGCAGTTTAGGAACTTGTGAACCGAGGCAGAAGTTGATTCGAGACACAGCAAAGTTTAAGTCGAGACACTCAGCAACTCCGAACGATAAAATAATTACCGGTCAGCGACTAAGTGGACGAGCCACTTAGTCAGCCACAAAAAAACATGGAACCGCCACAAAAGGCTGGGGATAACCTCACGTGACCTTGGCCTTTTTTCAGTTCTCTTCCTCACGTATTTCCTACGATGTTCCAAATTCTTTCATCAATGATTCTGACCTAATGCGAGGCCAATGTGGTAAAATCACTCAATATATCAATTGTGATGGCTGTAACAAACCTACCGAGTGATTTTAATCCACGAGCCGCGCGATAGATTGATGCCACGACGGCTGCGAGCTCCAAGGCGTCAAACCTAGCGGCTGGGCCCTCAAAGCTATGCGCAGCGGACTTTATCTAACCACCAAACCCAAATTCCGCTTTCTACTTTACGGTAGCCAGCTTAGCACGCCCCAGTGATTATAGCAGGTTCGGAAATTGCCTTTGTGAAGAGATATTCTTTGGGATTGCATCTGAATCCCGAGACTTGCATGTCTCCGTGTCTTTTACCATCACTGAATACCAAAACCTTGCGCATGAGATATCGCAACTACTACCTTACGCAATGAATCGTAATGGGGCTCGTGATATGCGCAGGCTTCAGTTGAGGTCGCAGCAAAAAAAGTTGACGGAAGTAATTACGATTCAAATATCATCATAGTGTTTTATCGTGGAGCGCATGTCGAGGGTACCGGTCCTCATGGTTACGCCTGGATTAACCCCTTGGAGGTTGATTTCCTAAATAATGAATCCACCCACGCTTGACATCGTGGAAAGGTAAATCGTCGCAAATTGCCTTTGCCTTCCGTTACGGTCTTTAGGCAAGATACATTCACCCAGTCCAAAGTATACGCTAATATGATGTTGCATCTTGTAGCAATAGCATGATAATGAGGCAGCTTGGCCGGTCAACTTACTCTCTGCTCTCGACTCTGTCAATGATATATAGGAGCATCGGCATACTCGGGCCAAGGAGCTGAAAAAGTGAAACCTGTGATATCAAGTGAATCGCGAGCCGAGTTTACTGATGCTGCAACTCACATCCTAGGGGAAAAAAAAAATAATACCACGTCCATCATCATCGATCAACTCGAACTCCCTCACCACCGACCGGCAGCACACCCAGCTCCCCATGACCGCAATCCATCTCCAAACAGCACTTCTGCTCAAGCACCACCAGAGACCTACTCCGGATACACCATCTTCCTGCTCACTCCGCCGTCAACCACCATCTCCACGCCACTCACCCCCCGCGCATCAAGCAAATACGCAACCGCCCTCGCAACATCGTCCACCTTGCCAACCCTCCCCGTCAAATGCCACCTCATGTCCTCCTCGCTCAGCCCATCCTGCCACTCTGTCCCCTTCTCATCCGCCTCCTTACACTCATCCCCGACGTGTATCCAGCCCGGCAGAATCGCATTGACCCTCACCCCCTTTCCGCCCAGCGAAACCGCCATGCTCTGCGTCAGCCCCAAAAGCCCTGCCTTTGTCGCCGCGTACGCCTCGTTATCAGGCTCGCTCATCACCGCCCTCGTGGAGGACACGTGGATCACGCACCCTCCCGCCGCGACCAACATGTCCAGGCAGGCCTGCGTCATGAGCATGGGCGCCGTGAGATTCGTCTGGATGCTCTTGTTCCACTCCTCCAGCGTCATGTCCTGGAGGGACGGGCCGCCCACGCCCCCCGTGTAAGCGGCATTGTTGACCAGGCAGTCCAGGCGACCGGCGAAGAAGGACCGCGCCTGTTGGGCGGCGAGGGTGATGGCGCTCGGGGAGCGGAGGTCGGCTACGCACGTGGCAAACGTGTCGTGCGGATGCGTCTTCGACAACATGCATGCGGTGTGCTCGAGCTCACGGGTGTCAACGTCGACGAGGAACACGCGGTGGTTGGAGGCGAGGAGGTGCCGGGCGAGGCCGCGGCCAATACCGCGTGCTGCGCCGGTGACGAGGAAATTCTTCGACATGAGTAGATGGGATGTACCGCTTTTTCTACAGGTAGCTCTGGAGATGGGCAAGTGTGGCGCGTGCGAAGTGTATTGAGCGTGAAGGATGGATGTTTGAAGGGACCCGCTCTGGTTGTTCTGGATCCGGACCCGAGACTAACACGGCATTTACTTGCGGAAGATGATATCTAGCGTAGGGAATATATAGATGGAATCAACTCTCGTCTTTTTGAAAAAAAAAAAAAAAAAAAAAAAAAAAACTTTTTAGAGACCTCC